TGAGAAATAAATGTGATAATATGTATAAAATACTTAGAAATAGACTTGAGTATATGGTGTACTAGTGTCTCTATTTTTACTTTACTTTTATTCTAAGCAACTTTGTATACTTTTAAACAGATAAAATATGAATATAAATATAAAACATAAGGAAATAATAATAAAAGTGCCAAAAAACTTAGAAGAATAGTTTAGTAAGTATAATTGTAGAGTTAAAAGGTCATCCACTTTCTGAGCTTTAGAAATTCCTCCTTTAAAACACACTTATTACTGATTAGGTATGTTGGAATAAGGCAGGAAAAATGTGCCTTTGGGGACATCATAAAATGATGTCTGGACACAAAGATGAAGCTTTGACAATTTCCTGAAATTAGTCGAGATGAGAATTAATCTTATTAGTGAGTCACGGGGGTGTCGTTCTCAGTGCCTCCTAACGTGCGGATGTACTTCCTCTTGCTGCAGCATAAATCTCATTCTTAGAATTGTAGGATGACTCCTAGACATGGAGGAAGCACTGATTCAAAAGACAGAGAAAAATTTGAATTATCTAGAGATGAATAGCCAAAGAGGATGCCGTCGTTTATCAGGACAGAGTAAATCGAAAGGATTATGAATTCTGAATCAAAGAGTAACAGATATACACCATGCATGAGTATTTGTTCGTTATAGGAGAAAAGCCTTAGCGAAAAGAAATTCAGAGGCAATGAATAGAAATATTTATAGTGTGGAAATATTTATAGTGTGACTATCTTTTAAAATGCAGACCAAAATCAAATCAGGCTAGAACTAGGAAAAGGTTTGGGAAACTTTTAAAACATCATTTTCAGCTCTGTTCTTAATTTCCTTCATTCAAAAAAAAGTGTCAAGAGCTACAGATCCCAGAACCAGAGTATATCAGCACCCTTTCTAGAGACTTAAAGATCAATTTTTAAAAAGTGAAGAATTTAGAAATGAAACGTCAAAATCTTCAAATCCAGAAGATTTGGGCTTATGCAAATCTTTTTATGCCAGCCAATTATTACAGTATTAGATGTACTACCCATCATCTACTCCATGTAAGTAATCCCATTGTCCTATCAAAGTCTTTGCTTAAGATTTATTAAATTTATTAATGCAAAGACGTTATTAGCATTATTTGTAAATTTGCAAATATGAATAGTAATTAGCTTTTTAACCTTCAGTGTTAAGCTTGTATTTCAAACTCTTTACAAAATGGCCACAGATTCTAAATTCTGCCTTCATGTAAACCAATCAGTGACTTGCAGTGTACCTGGGATTCTACGGATGAAAATAAAAGGAGCTAAATTCCAATTACTTGCTTTGATTCTCCCCTTTTTCCATACATCAGTCATCACTTCTGAGAACAAAGGGGTAACAAACCTTGCTGAAGGTTTTGGCATTGATTCGAAGTAAAATTCAAGGATTCTGCTGGAAATATTCAATTACTTACACATTATGTGTTTACTATTATGTTTTAAATGTATATCTTATCTCCCTCTTATGGTTCTTGTAGTAGAGTGATAAGTGGGTATGACCAGAATTTTATTGATTTCTGCAACAATCAAAATTTTTTACTAGTAATACATTAACTCCTTAAGTGCTATAGGCTGCAAAATGGCCCACAAAGATAGCTCTACCATAGTATCTAGAATCTGTGAATTTGTTACCTTAAAAGAGAAAAAGGACTTACAGATATGACTAAGAATCTTGATATAAAGACATCATCTTGCATCGTCTGGATGTGCCAATTTAATCACAGGGGCAAGGAAATAGGGAAAAAGGAAAAAAAGGCAAAAATGGAAACAAAGTCTTTGTAAATAAGGAAGGGTGAAGGGGGTGAGGGGGAGCAGGGGAATGGGGAAAAATGAGAACCAAGACCTGTCATGTAAAGGTACAGGATCCCAATGATGAATGTAACTGTATTGTCTGCTTTAAATGTACCACTAAACTTAATGGGGAAAAAAAGGAGAGGAAGTGGAGTGAAATTGCAAACAAAATATTTGATGACAGCAGAGAGAAAGAAATTGAAAGATGTTAAATTGCTGGCTTTGAAGATGGATAATGGGGCCATGAGCCAAGAAATGCAGATAGATGGTCTTTAAACCAGCAAAGGCTAGGGAACAAATCTTTCCTTAGAGCTTCCAGAGCAATATACTCTGCCAAAACAGGATATTTTGACTTCCCAAGTCATGAGAGAATAAATTTGTGCTGTTTCGATACATTTGAATTACAGGTATTTGTCACAGCAGCCATAGGGAACTAATACACTTGTTAGTTAAAATGCACTGTATTTTTGCTCACTTGTGTATATGATTGCTTCAGGTATAAAAAGAAGGCACACAAACAGAAACGGATGTGAGCTCACTTGATGAGACCAAAGTTGCTCTTTACTGGTTTACTTAACAAAGTAAAATGATTTTATTTATAATCTCTTTGAGGGCCAACTAGAGTTATCTCTTTTTGGTTTTTTTTTTTTTTTTTTTTTGAGACAGGGTCTCACTATGTAGTTGAGACTGACCTGGAACTCACTATGTAGCCCAGGCTGGTGTCAAACTCACAGCGATCCTCCTGCCTCAGCCTTCTGAGTGCTGGGATTACAGGCGTGCGCCACCACACCCAGCTGTAGACATATTTTAAATTACTGCAAAATTTCCTTCAGAAAGATTTAATTAAGCAATTGGATTAATTAAGATTATTGAACATGTTACATAGCCAAAAAATCTGCTAAATAGGTAAATGCAGTAAAATTAGAATTATAGAAAAAATATATAATGCATTATGCAGTTTCTCTGCTTCCTCACCAGGCAATTTTTAAACCATTAGTCATATATAAACACAGGTAAGTGCTTGAGTAAAGTCAACGGCATTTCTTATCACTTGATTCTGTATTCTCCACAGTCCTCTTGAACATGGAAGTGCCTTACATCGGATGGAACATCCATCCGTAGATCATCCTGCCTATCTGAATGTTGTTCAAGATGCAGAATTTTAAGTATACATTGTTTTACTCACCAAATAGTTGTTGAGGGACTGCTGTATTCCATCCTCTTGTCAGTAAATGGAACTGTCAAAAATTCCTACTTTTTTCCAATATTTTGTGAGTCTTGAGAAATGTAAAAAGGAGTAAATACTACTTTCATGTAAACTATAATCACTGAAATTGCATCCAAAAACCAAAGGAAAGCTTCATCTCTCTTTCCTTCCTGCATGTTGGGAAGTGAGTCAGTATTCAGGGACCTACAGACTGCAGGTGCACACAAAATCGGTTTCCACATGAAGTGCCTTTTCAAAAATTAATCACCTATCACTACAAATTTCAGTGATGATTTCCTCTAATACCCTGGGTAAGCAGGACATTATCAGCTATAAGCAGGTTTTGCTGCTTGATAATGACAATGAGGACTCTTCTTGGTTTACATATTTACTGTAGTATACTTTTACCACTATTTTAGAGTGTACTCTTCTATTTTGAAAAAAGTTTACCATAAAAAATAAGTTTGGAAGCAGCCTTACACGGAGACAATTTACCAAGATTTCATCCAGAGCCCACACTGAGAGACTGATATGTACCGCTGAGTTTTGTTTAAATACAAGCTATGATGTCTGCTCAATAGCAATATTGCTAGTGGCACACTTCTAAGTAACACATGGATTTCCTATTGATTGAGCAATGTTTCTTAGTCTTTATCTTCCTTTTTAGTTCTGATGTTCTGTACATCAGTTGAAATTAGATGCTCATGTGTAAGTCTAGGGTTTCTTAATTCTATTCCTACATAATACTCTGTGAGTTGCTTCTCAGGATCCTACTTACTTTCTCAAGAAACATATTGCATTTAAACACTGTGAAGTCAAGCATTTTCATTTTTTTTAATTGAGTTTATTGGTATTTTCCAAGTATACAGTACAGTTACATTCATCATTGGGATCTTGTACCTTTACATGACAGATCCTGGTTCTTATTTTTTCTCTATACTCCTTCCCTCCCTTCACCCCTTCCACCCTTCCCTATTTACAAAGACTTTGTTTCCATTTTTTCCTTTTCTCATATTTTTTCATTTCTCTTATTTCCTTCCCCTGCCCTTCCCACTTCCCCAACACCTTTAGCCCTCTTCTTCCTATTTCATATTATCAGTTATACCGTTTGGATCTTGCCTCAATATGCATCCATTTTCCTAGGAATGAGTCTAGTTTCTCATTCTTTATGGCTGAGTAGTATTCCATTTTATACAAAAAAACACATCTTCTTTATCCAGTCTGCAACTGATGGGCAGATGGGCTGTTTCCAAGTTTTAGCTATTACAAACTGTGCCACTCTAAACATGGGTAAATATGTATCACTTTGATATGATTCTTTTAATTCTTTTGGAAAGATACCCAGCATAGGGTTGGCTGGGTCAAATGGAAACTCTAGTCCCCAGCTCTTTGAGGTATCTCTGTATTGATTTCCACAGTTGTTGCACCAGTCTGCACTCCCACCAACAATGGAGAAGGGTTCCTTTCTCCCCACAGTCCCACCAGCATTTGTTATTGTTCATTTCTTGATAGCAGCCATTTTTTCTGGAGTAAGGTGGACTCTCAGTGTTATTTTCATCTGCATCCCTCAAATGACCGGTGATGTGGAACATTTTTTCATATATTTATTTTCTGCTTTTACTTTTTTGTCTGAGAAATGTCTGTTCATTTCAGATGCCCATTTTTGAAGTGGGTTTTTATATTTGGGGGGAGCTGATTTTTTTTTTAGTTCTTTATGTAGTCTAGATAATAGTCCTATGTCTGGGGAGCAGCTGGTAAGCATTTTTTCCCACATTATAGGTTGTCTCTTAGCTCTGTTGGTGGTTTCTATTGCAGTGCAGAAGCTTTTTAATCAGATGAGATTCCAGTCATTGATTATTCATGCTAGTTCCCATGCTACTGAAAATTGTTCATAAAGTCTTTTGCTATGCCAATATCTTCAAGAATTTTGCCTAACTTATCTCCCAGCAAGTTTAGAATTTCTGTTTGAAAATATGGAATGCCTCATGAATTTGTGTGTCATCCTTGCACAGAGGCCATGCTAATCTTTTCTGTATACTTCCAATTTTAGTATACGTGCTCCTGAAGTGAGCACCTAGCATTTTCAAAATATTGTAACTACTCACACATGGGCTAATCATATTTACATTTTAATGTTTTATGTATGTGTATAATATCTACATCATTTAACCCTCTACCTACTGTGTCTCTTAGATAACATTTGAGAAAGAACAATACAAGAATTGCATTTGGCCCAGAATCTTTAGGTATGTTTTATTTATAAATTATAAAGGATTCTATTTCAGTTTTGTACAATTAAACCTCAATAACTAAGAAGTTAAATATACCATACATTATTTAATATGAGTTTTCTCTCCTTTTTACACATACAAATGCACCTATTATCTAATTAAAACCTACACTATTCCACAATCATCTAGGAATGAGTATATATTTAGCTTTAGTCCATCATCTTCCTAAGTCTTTATTTATGATGAAAACCTATATGTGGCCATAAAGGAGTCTCAATCACAAACTGGAATATAATATATGTGAAAAAGAACTGAAATCTGTATAGTTTTTTAAAAGCAAGACTAAGAATGTAGTTTTTGCCTAATAATCAGAAGAATTAAGAAATATAATATCTAAATTCTTAAATCCTACAACAAAAAATGTAAAATACAAAAAAATGCATTTGAATTTGTGTATTAATGTTAAAGTACATTCAACTCCATACAGCAATGAGGCATTTATTCAGAAATACGAAGTTTAGGTAATGAGGAAGCAGTAACTAAAAAAATATTTCCAGTCAAATCACTCATTCATGTTCTATTAAACCAAGAGCTTGTGCATTGCCGAGATCAAATCACATTTTTCAAAGTTCAGCTGAGAATAATTTTTAAAAGGATGTAATATAGAACTATAGAATATTCTTTGAGTTTTTCAGCTTTTAGGTATGATCATGAATATATTTACCACAACCTTTTCAAATATATTTTCAAAACATCTTGTGGGGTCTCAAAGGAACTATTTGATGAAAGCCATATCCCAAACTGCAGTTCTATGAATGAGTATGCAGTTATTCTGAGGCAAAATGACCCCCAGCCATTACAAAGAAAGATTTACCTCAGCAATGCCCAGTAGTAGGCTGGCACATTATTTTCAATCAGTCATCAATTTTTCTTGAAAAATTAAAATGGACAGGTCATGATGCAGAGACCTTTTGATAGATTCTTTTATGAAGAGAGAGAACAACTATTCCTCCAGGCAGAACAAAACCAAGGAGAATTTTGTGTAACTGTGGGAAACCCAGGGTGGAAGAATTTTTGCAGAGACTCAATGCAAACAGGAAAGATGTATTTGTTTCAACTAAGAAATAACCAAGTATGATTTTATATCCTAAAATGTAATGAAATTAATGTTTACATTCTGTCAACATAAATGATGAGTTAAATCAGATTACTTCTATACAAGTGAAATATTCAAACCTTGTCAAGCATATACTTATATTTATTTTCTCACTATAGAAATCAAATAGAATACCTGTTTGTTACCAAAAATTCCAACCGGTTATCTTTCAGCCATTGAATTTTCAAAAATATTAATCAGCTTCTCTTTCAGATCCAATAGATTCAGAAACTTCAGAAATGCACACTGAGTTTATGAGGAGTATTACATATTCAGAAGGAGTGGTTAAGACATGTTGACCCCAAAGGCTTTTCTTAAGAGTATCCCAAAAGTAGCACCTCAATCAGTTCCAAATCTAGAAGATGAGCTCTTAACAGTATGTCTAAATCTATAAAGAACATTTGTGAGTAGAATTTATTTTAAAATCCTTAGGCTGCAAAAATATTTAAAATTTTTAAAATTTTTCATGCCTCCCCTTACTTCCCTTAACTCAAATATTTCTATCATAGTGACCCATGATTTGGCTCAGTGGTTCCACTGACTGCCTTGCAAGCGCAAGGACCCAAGGTCAATCCCCCGTACCAAAAAAACTCTATCATAAAATCAGCTACTTCTTTTACAGATGATCATTAAGATATGAATTAGAATAACAGAAAGCATGAAAATGCAATGGAAGAAAGTTGCTGACCCAGGTTTATGTTCAAGTTCATGGGATTCTAGGGAAGTGGGGAGCTATAGCAGACTCATAGGAAGGGCCTGCTGCCTGACAGAGTGCTGTAAACAGCAAAAACCCTCGTTCTAAAATAGTCTGCAGTTTCTTTTCTTCTTCTTTTTTCCAAATTGAAGGGAGAAAAAAGAAAGTGTGATTCACTGTTGGGTAAACATATCGTCAACTCTTAAGATTTTCCAACTTAGGTTCTCAACAGAACCTCTTGTGTGGGGTGCCATGGGTAGTGTTTAGAGGAACAAATGCTTCCACAGTCAGTAATGAGGGAAAGAATAAAGGAAATGGGACTTGCTTGTAGATAAGGCATTTTTGTTTCTTTCTTTGGGTATGAGAGTTGAAGCCTGGATTCCAAGGAGTAAGAAAATGATGAAAGTGCTCCTGACAAGCATAAGTATGACATCAGCTGGTAGAGATTAAGAGGAAAAAGGGGGCAAAGGGATGCATATCTAATAAGGAGCCCTGTAGAGGACCCTGTATTCATTCAAAGAAGCCGTGACAACTGCTAATGTAGTTTTCGCCTTTTTGTCTTACTTATATTTTGACATTTATATTGTTCGAGTTCTCTAGGAAAACAGAAGCAGTAAGATGTCAATATATACCTAATAGGGGATTTATGATGGGAACTGACTCATGCTGTCATAGGGACTGGGAAATCTTAACCATCTACTGCGTGCCAACTGGGAAACTGGTGATGAATTCGGTTCAGTACAAAGAGCCAAGAACCAGCGGAGTCAAGGGTGGAAATTACAATTAGTACTAGAAGACCTGAAAATCGGGAGATGCAATATCTGGGGGCAGATGAAGACAGATGTTGCAGCTCAAAAAGAAAAAGAATGAATTTGTGCTTCTTCCTTCTGTTTCTGCCACATGAGTGATACGTGTCAGGGTGACACCCAAATGTGTTGTATGAGAGAGATCTTCTTTAGTTTACTGATTCAGTGCTACTCTCTTCGAGAAATATCCACAAAGACACACCCCAAAATAATGTTTTGCCAGCTATCTGGGAATTCTGTATTCCAGCCAAGTTGACATAAAAATTAACCATCACACATGGCAATTCCACTTTGCTCTCTGAGACTGCTTTTTTTTTAATGCTACATGGTAAATTGCGCTTTCTTAGCCATTTGCTTTGAAAAGTGGTGTTTAGTTGTATTACCAGTTCGTGACCCTGAATGTAACATAGAGCAGTGCTGAGGACTGCAGCCTAGAGAGATTTTGAGAGGACAAAAAGTGGTCAGAGGAGTGATCAAAGAAATCTCAAGCCAGAGATGATGAGCAGCCACTTAGGATAGATTTGTTAGACTTGTAAGGATCTTCAAGCTACTCAAATTTACCAAGGACAGGACTCAGGAAAAGGCCAGGATTTAGTCCATCAACACGAAGACGTCTCAGGCTGTTATATATTAGCTACCTTACAAAGGAAAGGGTGATCTCTGAAGCCATCAGTATTTGACCACATTCAGATTTCTTTGAAGAAACTATTAGGATTCTAATGAAAGAGTGAAATTCAGACAGCCGTTTGCTTCTAGAACTTTTCTACCACTTGCCGTATTTCCTGGAAACACAGGAGACTTCCTGGAATACAAGAACAGGGGACTCCTGTTCTTACTAGGATTACTTTACTGAAGAGATAGAGAAACTTGTTACTTCATATGTTAGTTTATTTACTGACCAGCATGCTAGCCTAAAATGCCACTTTTATTTGGATGAGAAAAACTGTAAATGAAGAAACTCTTTTAAAGCAAACTATAACCCTGAAGATTTTGAGTTGATTTTCTTTTTAGTTTTCATTTGTGCTCTTCTTTCCTTTCTTTTCTCCTGTGTGATAGTGTCAAAATCAACTAATGCCTTGGCTTGAACACTCATTTAAAGTGGCTGGACATTTGGAAAATATCAACTAGAAATAAAAATTGTTTGGCCTTATACAGAACTCTAACTGCATCCCATTCTGTGGTTCTTATTGCTTTTGTTCTTAATACCTGTTTTACTCTTTGATCCTGCCTGATAGTATAGCTTCTGTTTTCGAAATGCTATTTTCTTGACATTTTTAGTAGCTTGTTCTCTAACACCAGCAAGAAACGTAATTGAAAACAAGAGTGTGGGAATAATAGGAACCTGGGAATAAGCTGTTGGTATCAAATCACATTCTTGGATATCAATGCAAAATAAAGAAATATGCTCTCAGAAAGGTGGGTTGTTACATCTATTCAATCTCAAAGCCGTGCTAAGTCACCAAGACAGAAATTTATTTTTAATGGTTTGGAAAAAACATAAAGCTCAGTGATTTGTTTTAGTTCACAAATTTCCTCCTGCAAAAAATCTCTGGTCTGAAAACTTTCAATATGACATGTTAACCATTTCTTTATTCACCTCCAAACTGTACTTTTAACAGAGTAAGGAAATAACACCTTTTCTTGCACTGCAAGAAAACACCAAAATAAACTCATTTTTAAAAATCTGTGTTTTTAATCTAGGTTGAACCTGCTTTGGCTTCTTTTGCACAGTTTAATTTTTTCAGGATTAAGATAAGAAATATATAATTTTGCATTTATGGACTTTATACATTGTTTACTTTATGTTAAAAGAACTCAAAGCAAATATAAAGGAACTAAAAATGTTGGCACATGTAAGTAGCAGAAAGTTGATTTTTTTTTTTTTCAGACATGATCTGCTGTCTCCATTAAAGTCTCTGCCCCATCCATGTTTTCCTGGCTGGTGCTCAGCCCTGTGGAGGAGGGGTCCCAGCCTCAGTCCTGGAGAAGTACATCTCAGCAATCCCATTACCCTGGAGAATCGCTTATCTAAAAACAGACATGAGGTCAGGGATTTAGCTCAGTGGTTCCGGTGCCTGCCTCCTCGCAAGTGCAAGGGCCCGAGTTCAATCCCGATACCAAATAAATTCATAAATAAAATAAAAACAGACATGTGGCTTCTTTTTCTTTTGAAAGAAGTCATACCAA